GGGGGCGGCGTCCCCAGATTTTCTTGGACGACAGTCGAGGACACAAAAGAATCTTAGGTTTTTACTATTTCACACCCTATGAAGCACAGCAAATTCCCCAAGAGCAACCCTGGCTCCGTTTGAGGAGACTGCCAGACAACCACAGATCTGCCTTGCGGGCAAACAGAAACTTGATGGGGGTGGGGGGGCTTCGCATATTAAACTTAATGTACTAATCTAAAAATTTGCAGTCTTTCAATGGTTCAGTTTCTGTTTATGATTAGTCATGAATTTCAACGTGAAATGGTAGACTAACCGACCCAGATATGGCATTGTAAAATGCAATGTTTTCAATTTTTGTGGAAGTTGCTATTGTCATCTGTATTTTGTGTATATTGAATGCAAAAATGTCAAAATGGAAGCCTACAATTTATGGTAACTTGCTGAAGAGTGGGAATTTATTAAATAACGAAAATTCCCTCTGGAGATATTTGACCGTATGTGATTATCCAAACACTGTAGAAAATGGTGGGCAATCATAGTTAACCATGAGATGCATGATTTCCTCAACCACAACCAAGAGAAAAAACAACTTTATTAAGAGAAATTCAGATGAAGGTAAAATAATAATAACAGAGTTTGTTACATGTCCTACACTATTATTATTCTTCAGGCTTAAAATGCTACTGTTGAGTGTTTCTCATTAATAAATGTTCAATAGATAAAGGAATGAAACAAGTTGGATATGACTACTGCCCAAATTTTGTTGCACTGTAAATGAAATTTTAGACTAACTTCAAGGAATTCTGTAAATAAATTTAGTAACACAAGGAAGTGTTAAGGAGTGGAAAGCTATCAGGGAACTATATTAAAGAAAGACATATGTCATTTAGAATTTATTCCAGATAAGTAACAAATAATTTCATTATAAGTATGTTCCATACAATATTTATCTTTTATCTCATCAAGCATATACATAAGGAATTAGAAATAATTCAAATGTAACTGGGTCAAACATCATTTACAAAATTTTGCAATTTTATTTATCCTCATTTTTGAACATAACTCATCCCAATAATTTCTGCTACCTTTCTTTTTAACTGTAAGTTCTGCAGCCTGTGGGCTCTTTGTTCCAAGGGAGAAAAGATTCCTCCAGAAAAATTATTTACATTGGACTGAAGGGTGATACAGCTACTTGTTCATCTGAGGACACTTGTGCCACTTAAGAAAAAAAAAATTGCTCTACTGCTTCTAATGAGTTTTCTCTACTGCTTCTGATGAGTTTTCTCTGTTACCAAGGGGACATCAAGGAAAAGTTGAGTTGCTGCTATGGAATGGGAAGCATGGAGATCTATGTCTGAACCTAGGGAATTTCTGGGAAATGTTTTGGTAAGTTCATGTTCAGAAATAAAACTAGCAACTCATCAAAGGGAGAAATTCTGAGAATTAGACCATTAGATTTTGATATTTGGGGACATCCTTAAAAAGCTAACAAAAATGCCTCCCAGCTGAAGATCTGGGACTGAAATGGGCAGGAAGGAAGGAGAGAATGACAAGTTAAGAAGACAAGAAATCCAAATATTGTAGGTGTATTTCTTGTTTGGACTAGAGACTGTAGAAATTGCCAGTGGCCAAAAAAAGATACAAAACAGAACTCCAACCTACTACTGTACCAACCAGCTCAGGAAGCAAATTCACTGTCTACACTAACCAGTACAAGAGTAGGATTATTATGTCTAGTAACCACACAGGAAGTCAAACAATAACTTAACAATCGGTCCAAAATGGTCAGGACTTTATTAATTGCTGGAAGCTTCCCTAATTTTTGCCCACACTTCCCATATATAATTAACTAGAGGAAGCCAAATACATGCCCTTAATCAATCAAACAAAATGTTCTTCACTTCTATTTAGTTTCCACACTGCTTCCCCATGCCTGTAGCCTCCAATCAGGGTTGTTCTGAAATCTTCCCTTTATTCCACTATAAGGTGTTTTCACTACTCTACTCTCCTTTGAGTCTTTGTCAAATACAATGATGGTGGATGACTCCCTTACTACAGCAAGTTCAGAAGAGGCTTGCTTGTTTTTATTGAAATCCTCACTTATTTACAGTTTTCTATGTCTAAAATTCAATGTAGCTACTATTGAGCATATTTTTCATTAATGAAGTTTTTGTTTTGTTTTGTTTTTCTGAGTTGGAGTCTCACGCTGTTGCCCAGGCTGGAGTGCAGTGGCATGCTCACAGCCACCACAGCCTCGACCTGCTAGGCTCAAACAATCCTTCCACCTCAGCCTTCTAGGTATCTGGAACTACAGGCATGTGCCACCACGCCCAGCTAATTTTTATTTATTGTAGAGATAAGATCTTACCATATTGCCTAGGTTGGTCTCGAATGGGTTTTCTCTTTTTTTGGAATCGTAGTCTCACTGTGTCACCCAGGCTGGAGTGCAGTGGCATGCTCACAGCCACCACAACCTCAACCTGCTGGGCTCAGGTAATCCTTCTGCCTCAGCCTTTCAAGTAGCTGGAACTACAGGCATACACCACCACCACACCTGGCTAATTTTTTTTTTCTACTTAAAGACTTTGTTTTATTATAGTACATGGGCTGGGGCTGATGGGAAGGTGTAGATATAGTAGGCAAACATGGTTAGCATCAGATGCCCATCCCAATTGCCATGAATGTGCCAAAGGTGCCACCACTCTGCATCACGGTTTTCCCAATGCCGCCCATCAGCTCCTGACCCCGCATTCCGATCCTGAGACAGGAAAAGGTGCCGAAGAGTGCCCCGGCCGCCATGCCCACGGCGCAACCCATCACAAAGCCCATCTTCACGCAGTTGAAGCAGCTAGACTGGGACTGTCTGTAGGGGCCCACGGCCACTGGCATCTCGCTTGCTGGCTGGGTCGCTCCACACTACGTCTCCTGGAAAGCGAGACTCAGGGCCTGGCTAATTTTTAAAAAAATTTATTCTAGAGACAAAGTCTTACCAAGTTGCCCAGGCTGGTCTCGAACCTCTGGGCTCAGGCAGTCCTCTCTCCTCTGCCTCCCAAAATGCTGGGATTACAGGCATGAGTCACCACGCCCGGCCATGGAATTTTGTTATTGACTCTTATTTGTTTGGCATTTTTAGTTGAATGAGGCCACCTTTTTTATCCTTTTTTGCTGTATTTTGTGTTACTGTTTTGTGCTGTGCTGTCTTCGAGTACTGTTTGTCATAAAAAGGAAAACCATATGGTAGAAACAGACATGGGCCATAGAGGCCTGATTTCCCAGTGGCACAGGTGTGTGACTCTCAATAATCCAACATCTATTTGAACAAATTTTGTTCTAGGTCACCAACAAAACTATAGAAGGTTCTCCTTCCATCTTGATAGTTTGCCCTGAAAAATGAACTTTGATCCAGTAAGTATGCTCACTCTTTCTGTCTCTCTCTCACTGTCTTTCTCTCTCTCTCTAACTCTATGTCTATCACTACATCTCTATTTTTTATCTCTATCTCTATCTATCTTTCTCATTATTTGCCTGCTGAAGAAGTGCAGTTGTGAGGTCTGCATTTGGATGTAGCTATCCATCCAGGTGAAAGTCCAAGGCCGGAGGTATAAAAGCATTACATTGCTACTGGCTATTGACAGTTCTCATGCTGTCTTGTAAGTCCAAGTCGTCTTTTTCAGTAAAAACTCTTGTATCTTAATTGTACTCTCATAATAATCCTATTTTTGTGCCTATTTTTTTAAACAACAAAACTTCACCAAGGATAATTTGGGGTTTCACTGACCACTGGAGAACATTTGATGTGAAATTATTCATTGTAAGAGGTACCTTAGAAAAGACAGGAAACACAATTTCTTTCTTTTATTTGTCAGGGTCTCTGTCACCCAGACTGGAGGGCAGTGGAATGGTCAAGGCTCACTGAAGCCTCAACCTTATGGGTCAAGGTGATGCTGGAACTACAGGTGTGTGCCACTACCATTTATTTTCTTTGTATTCTTTTTTTTTTTTTTTTTTTTTGTAAGAGCTATGTTTTATAGGCTGGTCTCAAATTCCTGAGTCAGCAATCCTCCTGTCTCAATCTCCCAAAGTGCTGGGATTAAAGGCATGAGCCACTGTGTTCAGGCAGGAAATAAAATTTAAGTCAAATTGAAATTTGTTTTATTGGTATGAAATTTTTGTATGTGGTTTCTCAGCCATTGTGATTCAAAAATTTCTTCACTAAAAGATTATTTGGCCAAAACTAGTGAGCAATTCTAAAAACTTGTCCAAAAACTGAACTCCTTTTCATAATAACTCCTTTCTGACATTGACCACCAGTTGCCTTCCTATATCCAGCGTTCCCTCTTCTCCCTTATTTTTCTGATCTCTATGTTTTCATACCTCCTCCTTCCTTTTTATTTTGTCGAGACCCCTTATATTTTTTCAAATAACTCCCCTAATACAGCAAATGATATTTACCTCAAAAGCTCTATCCTTCTCATAAGTATGCAAGCAACTGTAGAATGTAAACCTTGGAAATAAGCTGAATTAAAAGATACAACTAAAGATTTGCCTAAACCTATATAAACCAGAAAATGTTCATAGAATTTAGATCTTGGGTACATAGGACCCAGAGTTAAGTGATTTACACAACTTACATGCATATTTGTTAGAATCTCAGATGCAAAATTCTGACTGTCAAAAATTAGACTGACCATGAAGAAAAACTACAGGA